GCTGTATTTCCAAAAAGCAAATACTGTAAATTGTTACGTAAATAGTGACGTTTACATGCACTGTTGTTAATCAACGTATCTTAAAAAGAACTAGCTGTGTGCCCGTTCTACGTACGGGGATATTATAGTAGTCAGTTGAATGTGACAAAAATCATACAGTGGTGGGTTTTTGGACATTTGTAATTTTACTTCTTAAAGTAGGTAGGCCATGTATTGTATGGAAAAGTACTTGGTATCAAGCATCGTCGTCGAAAAGGTTGTTAGATGAATAAATAGGTATGCGTACGTACCCAAGAGATGGACTATCATGGGCCTATTTGCTGTATGGTCCAGCGATTGCAATACACGGTGAGTAGAAACAGAAAGTGATACATTGGAAAAGCGAGTTTAGCATCATCCGTAAACTTCTGTTACAATCACCCACTGCAGTTGTGATTTTTTTACTTTACACTTTACACAATCGCCATTGAAGCGCCGTCAATGAATGGACACCTTGTTTGTAAGCTATTGGCGACGATCATTAAGTGTCCCAGCTATATATAACACTGATTCAAGGTCTTTTTTCTGGTTATCAAATGTAATCAACCTTTAATTTAGGTCTACAATGGAAACTCCATGTACAAATTCGAAACTTAAATTTATTAATTATTATACAAAACTGATAGTGAAAGAAAAGAAAAGGGGGTTCACAATAAATTGTACAAACAGTGGGAGATGAATTTACTTTAAAAACTTTAGGCTAGGCCTATTACAATGGTTTTAATTATTTAAGTTCAATGTTATAATTTACTGTAAGGATCTTAATCTCAGGTGGGGTGATCGAGCGGCATTTGAATTTAATAAGCCTAATTAAATTTTGTTTTAAAATATAAAATATGTTCGAATTATAGATTGGTTGAATTAATAATAATTTTGAATAAGTTAAGATTCTATTAGTTCTTGACTTTGAATTTGAGTACAAATGTCCAAAGGCTGGGCCTAAAAAAGTTGTAATGGCTTCCAAAGGGGAAAATGTCTGTTGGAGTAATCTCACCAAAATTGATGTCTTCTTTAAAGTAAAGTTCTTGATGTTATAAATTATGAATGTTCGTCACAAGGATGGTTCTTCTTTCAACAAATTTCACTAATTTTGTCCGAATAATGTACTTTTTTTATAAAATTTTAATATTAAATATGTAGTGTTTAATTTGCATCTTCATACTATCTTGGCTCTATTGGAAGTGATGATGGTCTGATGTATTGTTGCACTCACATATGTCAATGCTGACATAATAATATAAAATTATAGGCCACTGTTCACACATATATTATAACAAATTTCATTTGCTAGAGAGCTAAATTATAATTTTGAAAAGTTATTTAAATAAAATTATATAGAATTTGAAGCAATTTTGTTACAAAAGTTATAGGCTATTATATATTTATATGATATTATGTTATTTGAAAATTTATATATTATATTGTATTAAATTAATTACCTATTGGTCTGCATGGACAATTAATTTCTATATATGGTTTGAAAATGGATTGACATTTAGATAAAATGAAAAACATATGGTGGAAATTAAATTATTCTATTAAAAAAATATTAGTGAAAATATTGAATTGTTACAAAATCCCCGCAGAAATGGAGTTATAATGAAATTACTAACGACATTCGAACTAACAATGAAAATATTTACACTGATTAAAACTGATAACAACACACAAACAAGGAAAAGAAACAATAAATTATTACTTTGAAGTACATGAACATAACAAAAACATTAATATCCTAACTAACATAATGAGAGATATTTAAAAAAACAATATTTAATGGGGTTTCCTAACTATATAGCATAGATGGATTTCAAGGTCTTTATCCTTCACTAACTCCTATTATTTTTTATAAATCATTTTCCTAGAATGAATTCTTATGTAATGATTGGTTATTGTTCTATATACATATACATTCATTTTATTGTTTTATGGGGAAAGGGAGGGGAATTGTTTCTATAAGACTGTACACAACACAACAGGCGCGCACTAATCGCATCACTACTCTTCATGTTTAGAGGGAGTTTTGGTTTGTTGGATCTTGAGGGGTGATGTACCTTTTGAGGGCAGAGACGTGGTATGGTCCATATTTGCACCTAATTTTAGCATTATCCCCGCTATCTAGGTATTGATAGACATAGTATGTTTTCTTGGGATCTGGGTAGGATTTCTTCTTAAAATTTTGAGGATTTTCTACTTTTAAAGTATGTTTGTATTTGTTGCAAACTCCTGGTTCATCATTAATTAACTGATTATCGGCAAGAGAACTTTTGACTATTTCTGGTGAAATGCTGCTTTGAGTTTTGCTTGTTTGTGAACTGTACCTATGTGTATTTATTTCATTTGTATTATCATATATTAAATCATCTTCATAATTGTGTTTCACTTGTATTGTAGTTAATGTAGCAAGATATTCCGTTAATAGTTACCTCTCCAAACTTCAAATTCACATCATTATTATTAATATTTATATTTATTGATTTGTGTTCGAAGTCGATTCGTGCATCCCATAAGCTTAAAACATCTGTTCCTATAATTAATGATCTTACTAGGTGCGGTACAAGCAAAGTTTGTATGTATGTTGGTTGATTATTTACTTCAAATGGCAGCAATAAGATTTTAGATACCCGTTTTGATTTCTCTCCGGTGGCAGTTTTAATGAATGTATTGCTAACAGGGAGTTCTTCAAATTCAGCTAATTTATGCTTATTTTCATTAAACCAATTTTCGTTTATACAGGTAATGTTAGACCCTGTATCAACTAAAGCACAGATGGGAATATTACTTATTTTGACATTTATTTCTGGGCAGTTTGCTTTAAAATTGTTAGTACAAAGTTCATCTATTGTCTCTTCACTCAATAAAAATTCACGGTTACAACAAATTGTGTTAATATGTAAAGGTTCTATGTTACTTTGGTTATAATTATTTATTTGATTATTTGGTCTGTTTAGTCCGATTTGATTCACAGGCGCTGAAGATTCTAGAGTTGTATACAGACCAGCAGTTTCGACAGCGCCTACCCGTTTAAAGGCGGCTGCCCGCTGTACTGTTGTGCCGTACTATTAGGCGGTCGGTTATGTGAAGGAACTTGCGAAATTGAATTACACATTTGAACTTGCTGTGATGTTGGGCTCTAATGTGGTGGTGGTGGATTTCTTGGTTGCCAACTTTGATTATGTTGGGGCCGGTTGTTTTGGTAATAATTCTGATGTGTTTCTCTCTTGGGATTGTAGGTATGGGGATTAGTGTTCTGATAGTGATTTTGAGCTTGAAAGCTGGGTCGATTTTGGTAGTTATCTTGTCGTTGAAGTAGTGCTTCAAACTCGTACACACTGCTTGCATTTTGCACACGTCGTGCGTCCTGAATAAGTGGGCAAAAGTGGTCAGACAGAATAGCCACTATTTCCTCTTCAGTCAGTGCCGGAGTGAGGGATCGTAGCGTAATGACTCGTTCAATAAAATACTCGGATCGAGTTAATTTTCCGTCAGGCTTGTAATGTTCGGATTCGATTTTGTGCTTGATTGCCCGTTGAAGGTCACGATTCCAATACTTCGATATAAATTGTGTTTCAAAATCTTCCCATGACTTTAAATCATTCTTTACCAATGAAAACCATCGTGAAGCTTGGTGTTCAAGGCTTGTTTCAAGAATGTCTTTTAAGATTTCGATGGGGTTTTGCTCGGTGCTTTGCCGTGAAAGTAATTTTTGGTAATATCTCTTCAGACGTGTTAGATATTCCGGGGGATTATGGGATCGACCACTGAATTTAGGTAAAGTCAAATCATTGGTTAAGATTGAACTTCCACAGGTTACATGGATTTGAGGTGCTAGAAAAGCGGTTTCCTGTTTTAGCTTTTGTTCAAGGTCGGCTTTAATATTAGTAAATTTAGCTTCTTGTTCTTGTATGAGGTTGGTTACTTGGTTAAGTGTTTCTGTTGTTTGCCGAATTGTGTTTTGGTTGTGCTCGACTACCGGTGCCAATTCATTTCTTATTTCAGTGGTTTTTAGATTTACATAATTTTCTAAATCTGACTTAGTGTTCTGGGAAGTTTCATTGATGTTTAATGTCAGTTTGGTTTCAATTTTGCGGCTTTCATCAATGATGATTTGATTGGTCTTAATGCGTTCATTGGCTACAATATTGGACACTTCTTTTCTAATTTCGTCATTCTGTTTATACACCTTTTTAATAATGTTGTTTTCAATTTGTTGTAATTCTAAAGTATGTACTTGTTGGATAGCACTGATTTCGTCTAGTTCCTTACGCATGTTGTTTTGATTTTCTGATAGAGTGTTAAATTTAGTATTTAATTCATTTTTAACCTCGTTTTTGACATCATTTAGGCCCTTATTAAGTTTGTTTTCAACACTAGCTACTTCAGCTTTTACTTCGTTTAGGTCGCTTTTTACTTCATTTAGACCTTTATCGATTTTATTTCCAAGCAGTTCGAATAATGAAATTAATTTGCATTGAAAATCATCCGTAACGACTGTCGACTTAGTTGGTGAGGCATTGACAGGTGCAGTGACGTCACTGTTTAACTTTGTGAGAGTCAGCTGGCAGGGAGAATGAGACGGGATAGCATCGGAAGTCTTCGGTGGCGTTCGGGTGTTGTCGTCGGCGAAGACCGGCATCTGTTGGCCTTGACATTCAAGATGGCGAATTCCAGTGTCAGTTTCTGCTTGAGAAATGGTGTCTGCCATGTTTACTTCTGCTTCGGTTTTAATAAACTCGGTGAAAAGTTCGTTATTATTTTGCCCGGGTAGATTGTTGGATTGTTCGACTTCGTGTTGTGTTATTACGTTGTCGGGTTGTGCGGGATTTACGAACAAACTGTGTTGTGTGAATGTTGAAGTGTTATTATTGTCAGTGGGGACTTGAATGTTGTCAACTGTGTCAGTCATTATTGGGTTGGGAATGGTATTGCGGGACCTTAAATTATAATTATGGGGCATGGGATTACACAAGAAGGGAAAAAGGATATTGTTTACAGTTATGGTATGTTAACTTAATAAGTACATGTTCATGTCCAATCAGTAGTTGTGGATGACCACGCTGAAACACTTCTTCAGGGATTTCCTGTAAATAAGACCATTTATTTTTCATTTGTTCTGAATTCATAGACTGTATTGGTAAGTGCAAGGCTGTCAAAGTCTTCACGTTGTTTAGAGTCAAGTGTTCGCCTGTATCTCCTATAACTGTCAGTGTTACAGTCTGAGATTCTTTTTCTGTATAAACACTTCCATCTGTCCAGGAGAAAGATACAGGTTTAGTAGGTCCATCAATTTCGAGTTCTTCAACCAATCCCTTTTCGATGACAGAAATAGTTGAACCGTCATCAATTAAAGCAAATGTTTCAATTTGCTTGCCATTTTTTCCTACCAATGTTACTGAGAGAACCCTCAACAACACTCTTGCAACAGGTTCTTCTTGAAACCCCATATGTTCACTGTGAATTTCCAATTTAGGTGTCTCTTTATTAGCACCTTCTTCTTTTGAGGTCACGTGTAACAGTTTATTATGGAAATAGGTGCAGCCATTAACTCCACAAGCAAGTTTGTTACGACAAGTCATCGCTCGGTGTTTAGTCTTCAAGCAATTGAAACACAGACTGTTACTCTTTACTGTCTCCCATCTTTTATTTACATCGTACTTTAGGAATTGCTTGCATTCTGTCAATGTATGGTCTTGTTTTTTACAGCAAACACATAGGCTATACGTTTTTTAAACTTCTTGTCACCTTCATGTTGTACTAATACAAAGTTCTTGGAGTTTGATTCATTTCTTGATGACATGTTTTTAAAGTTTCCACTAGTAGATGTACTGGGAGTACATATAATTGCTGCATCCGCCACAGAAGAGAGCCACGTCGAAAAGCTGTCGGGGCCAATTGGTTGTTTCAATTGAGACTGTGGTGAAGTGACAAACATTCCCCAGTTGAGCTTCATGTTGGTGGACAGTTTTTCTGTGAGCTCTTCCATAAGTTGTGGGTTAAACAAGTAGTGGTCCTGCTTCAAGGATTTTACCGTAACTACTAAGTTCCTTACCATGTCACTAAAAGCAACCAAAGTGTCAGGCTTGTAGTCCTTAGTTGGTGGTCGACCTTTCACGCTTGCTATGAGATTTTTAATAATTATATCTGGTCTTCCGAAACGCCATTCAAACAAATTAACAATTTCTGGTACGTTCTCAGGATATATCAACAGTGCTGATATCATTTCTTTAGCTTTTCCAGTAATACACTTCTGAAGTCTTTGAAGATTCTCCAAATCAGTGTAGTCATTAATTTCAGTAGATCGCCTGTATTCAGCTATCCAAGCGGGCCATTGGTCTAAATCTCCGCTGAAATTAGGTAGAGCAGACAATATTCTCGCCGGCATCTTCTCCCTAAATATCATTTTATCAGGTTGACAATCTCGAGGGAAACACGAAACATCTCGAGGAATTCTCCTTCTTTCGCTGAAAGCTACAGTCCTTGCTTCTCGAGGATTTTCACAGTTTTCTTCTCGAGGCTGGAAACTAGACTGTACTTCGTGATGCGGCAAGGATACCTCCTGCTGTACACTCTTCATAATATTTACTGGAACATTAGTACAAGGCTTCAAAACGTTATTTTTATTAATGTCTTCAGCTTGATCCTTTGTCTGCATCCACTTTTCAACAGCTTCCTTTGTGGGCAACGGTCGTGGAAGAGAAGAAATTGAAGTCCTAGATGATCTGCTACTGACTCTTGTCGATCCCCTGCTAAGCGATGACAGTCTGTCTTCAAGTAGCTTCTTCTTCATTTCTATTTCCTTCCGCTTGGCTTCTTCCTCTACTCGGGCAAGTCTTTCATCAGCTGCTGCTATTTTTACTGCTGCCTCTGCCTCTGCTTTCTCCGCCGCCGCCTTTGCTTTAGCACATGATACAACAAGGGACGTTTCTTCTTCCTGTATCTTAATCAATTCGTCCATAACCTCTAAAACACTTTCATTCCTACTCCTACTTGAGCTAGTTTTATGAGATCTTACCGACAAAGGAATATGCTTATCACTTACTGCCTCATTATTTTTACCATCAAAATCCTGAGATTTTATAGCAGACTTCTTGACTTTGGACCTTGTAAATGCTCCAGTAGTCGACATTTAGTTGATTCGCAAAAGTTTCGGCACCAATGTTCAAAATGAATAGTTTAAATTATTTAGCTAATAAAACTCATGTTCTTTTCATTACATTTATTTTTAAACCAATAAACCAGCTGATCAATGTTAATATTAAATTATAATGAATCATTGCTATATGGATACTAAATTTGCATTCAGCTTACTATAACATACTATAATAAGAAAACTATTTAACAAATGTACAGACAAAACTCTAATTTTATTTATATAGATGAGGATATCTAGTTCAAAAGGAACTCGAACTTTTTGTCATGACAGTAACTGCTTAAATGGTAATTACTCTTCGTGAAATTTGTTTTACAGTCGAAGTGTCGTGTTATTTTCACAAATCTCACTTAAGGCCAGCCAAGTGGGCCATGGTCCGTAAGAGGCATCTGTTAAACATCTGTCAAGATATAGGTACTATCTTAGGCAAGCTTTCTGTGTTTGGATGTTATTAGACACGATATGAGCACAATGAACTTCTTCTGCAGATGAATAATCCGTTGGAAAGAGAAATATAAGCCGATTTAATAAATGTCACAATCCAATCGCATTAAAATGGCTCAGGCCTGAAATTTTTTTTAGTATCGAGTTTGGGCATATTTTTTGTTACTATCTGGGTAAGTTACCGGTGCACTTTGAGACATTTTTTTTTAGAGATAAATTACATGGTTTTTGTTGTTTTTTAGTTAGTTTCATAACATTCAAAGGCTCTATTGTGTTTTCACTAAGCTGAATGAATACATCGAAGTAACATATCCAAAATTCTGCAATAAATTGTAATTTTGCAGATTAATGACTATCTGCAAAATTACAATTTATTGCAGAATTCTAAATAATGGACACATTTCTTCATAAAAATTTATAAAAAATTAATCCAGTTGCTGTAAACCACTATTAATTTAACAAAATATGGACACGGCTCATATGGGCAATTTGCCCTTCTGTACTTGTATTATTTTGTTTTGTATTACGCAATCGAAATCTTTTCCAATAATTGAAAACCTGTATGAAAATAATCTCATGAACCTATGATGATCTGTTTTCAACAATATGACAAAATATCGGCAAAAGTGGTCAAAAAGGCAGACACCAACCCGTACAACAGATATAAGTTAACTCGATAAGAAATCATTTTAAGAGTTACTGTATTATTAAGATTTTCCAATGATTTCGTAATTGAGCGTTATATTGTAAAACATGAGATGATGCAGAACAAAATAATCAAGAATTAATATCAAAAAATTACATTTAAAATGCTTCTTATTGACAAACTCAGTAAGTCCCTATAATAAATGTTGTTCAAAATACAATTTAAATACTAGGTGTGCAATGCAGTTGTATGCTTGCAATATTGAGCGGAGCTAGCATATTAATCCAATACTTTTCTAAAGTCAATTTTACATCTGTTCCTCGAAAATGAGATTAAAATACCTGCAGATCCAATGTCAATGGTATATTTGGTTCACTTAAATGGAATGTCTATTTGCAGTATTCTTAGTCAATAAGTCTGGTTCACGCAAATGAATTGTCTACTTGCATGAACCAAAGTTTACGTTCATCTGGTTCTTATATATTAAATGTCTAATTACAGTATCCAATGCCAATGATACATTTGGTTCGGATGAATAAAATGCCTATTTGCATTATCCAAAGGCAATGGTACGCCATTGACGGTTTACATAAATGGAATGTCTATTTGCAGTATTCCAAGTTAATGATACGAATTGTTTACTTGCGGTATCCAAAGCCAATGATACGACGGGTTCACGTAAACGAATTGTTTACTTGGAGTATCCAAACTCAATGGTGCATTTGGTTCATGTAAATGAATTGTCTACTTGCAGGATCCAAAGCAGTGGTTCATTTGACTCACTAAAATGGAGTGTATATTTGCAGTATCCAAAGTCAATGGTACGCCTTGTTCACGCCAATGGAATGTCTACTTGCAGTATCCAAACTCAATTGTATGTAGGCCTAGATTTGGTTCACATAAATGGAATGGCTATTTGGATTATTAAAAGTCAATGGTGCATCAGCCTTATTCCGCCGACCATAATTATTGGTATTTCATTTTGTAGTAAATTATACTCAATGATATTAATCCGATTGTTCTTCCCTTTTTCTCTGTACGGATTCTGTAATGTGCTATTTAGATGATTCGTTGACTAACATATGTCGCGACTCTTGTTTACCTTTTTATTGTTATCTCGCTAATAATGTCATGGCAACCAATTAACCCATAAGGCCCATGTTAAATTTCCAAAAGTTTGAATTCACGTAGAGAAAAGCCCTGTGGTCCGATTTGTACCATTTCAGATTTATACCTTCCCATGGTCGGTTACTATGATTGTGCTAAATTTGATGCAGATCGCTTCAGCCGTTCAGGAGGAGTATTTGTAAAACAAAAGCAGGAGTGTAGTATAAGAGCTTCGCTCGCTTCGCTTCGCTCCGCTCAATTAACAGCTGTTTCATTAAAAATTAGTGACAAATTATCCATATGGTCATAATGTAAACAAATTTGGGAAGGGAATTTTAAAGGCCTCTGGGGCAGAGCCCCTGGGGAATATACTTGGTTTTTCTTTTGATGGGTCATCTACAGACCAAGACCTTTCTTTGGACACCTCTACAAAGTTTCTACGCCCAGCCATTCTCTCAAATTTAAGGAGACAAAGTTTACAATTAAATATTTTGATATCCCCATGTTAATCGTATGGGAGGAAACCCAACTTTGATGGAAGATCCTGCCCAAACTAGTAAAGATTTCAAAAAATTAAAAAAAAAACTTTGCAAAACTACAGATCAGGGCAATTTTTTTCACTTTAATCATCAAAAACAGTCCAAAAATGAGGAAGAAGTTCTGTTTACAAAAATCAGCTTAGCGTATTATTTAGGCCTATATAATAGAAGAATAATAAACTTCGTCCTGGCATATCTGTTTTAAATTTCTACTGCTACACTTGCAACACTTTACACTTTTAGTTTACTTAATTTGATATGAACTTTTCTTATCAACGATTGATTTTAAGTATATCATTGTCAAAATGTGTACCGCACCTATTTTACCAACTTCATGTAACAATTCATTACTTTTGGATGAATTTTTAAAATTAGGTCTACTTTCAAATGAACAATTATTATAATTTAAAGCTTATCGGTCGAAATCACAGTAAATATTCAGTACTAAATGTATGTACATAGACCAATGACAACGTGTATCCAAAATAATAAATCTATTTTTTTACATTGGAAATCCATTAGAACTCATGCACGGATGCCAGGATACATAATATTATTCACGTACAACAGTGCTTACATAGACACACCCATTACGATTTACATAATCAGAACACTTCCAACAAAACTAATCTCAAACTAAATATTTCTTGTTGAATTACCATATCCATGTTATGATTATAAAACTGTATT